TACAATTTTCAAAAGTCTTATCTTTTTACTCTTGAACTCCATACTACGTCAAACGCCTTCACTTAAATTGAGACAAGAGAAGTAACAATAATTCCAGCAAAAATGAATACTTTCAGTATAAAATGGAAGAGCTCAGTTCCCTATACCTTATTTAAATCTCCTTCATTCTACTACATGTAGTCACATTCAGGTAAAAGACACTTAAAATCAGGTGCAAAGCTAGTAAGGGCCCAGGGCTCATCGAATCCCCTTCGGAGGAAAATTTTTTATTCTTCATATATATTATATGTTGAACCTCTTCGACTTCCTCATCTTCATATTTTTTCACATGAAAATACTAGCTCCGCCATTACTATTAAACCGCTTACAATCTTGCGAGTAGCAACTAAAACATTCAAACTCATTAAAAAACTTATCTTTTTTTCCAATACCACAAAAATTAATCAAACCCCATTAACAAATAGTAATCAAAATCATAAAATCACACTTAAAAATTAAAAAAAAATAAAAAAAAAATTACCTTGCCATTAAGCCACATTCGATCTTGATCAAAAGCAGGACTAACAGCAACAGTAGTAGTAGTACAAAGATGTGCAGGATCAAGAGTTACACTAATACTATCATTAATTGCAAGAATTAGGTTTTCATCTCTTTTTCCCCAATATTTTATCACAGCAATGTTAGTGGGTGTTTGTGCTGTTACCATCAAAACCCATTTTTGAGATTCATCCGCCATAGCCAAGTAATCGAAGGAAAAAAAGAAGAAATTTCTGGGATTTGGATCAAAATTTGTGAAATTTATTTGATATTTTTTCTATATTTTATTACATATTTATACATTTTATCATACATGAAATTTATATGTAAGTAGGCTTATCAAATAAAAATTAAAAATATAACCTTCTTTATTGATTGAATTTTTTTTTTTGTTTTATTTCTAGGCAGTACATTTTGGTGTTTGGGGTCCATGCTTTTATATTTAAGATCTCAGTCAAAAATATTCGTAAACTATTTTTTTGTGATTTTTATATCTTAATTATTAGGTATTTGTATTTATATTTTTTTATTTAAGTAATTATTAATTATTTGTAAGAAGGTGGAAGTAGCCCTCTCCGACGGACAAGATAAAGAAAACAAGAGATTAAGATGATTTGGGCACGTGACACATGTGTCAAGGAGGTGCATCAACGTGCCGGTGAGAAAATGCGAGAGGCTAATTGTAGGGGTACGCCGAGGAATAGGGGTAGGGAAAAAAATATTTGTGAGAGGTGACTAGATAGGATATGGTGCAACTTTATATTATTGAAGATATGACTTTCGATAGGGAATAGAGATCGCATATTAGGATAGACAGATAGTAGGGTAGATTATATGACTTTCGATAGGGAATAGAAATTGCATATTAGGATAGACGGATAGTAAGGTAGATTATTGTTTTCTTGACTCACGAAGTTTAGTGTGAGGTGTAGGACTAGCCTTGCTCTTATAGTTCTTGTCACGTGTTTGTTTTATTTTGTTGTTGTTATTATTTCTCGTAGAATTTATACTCTTTTACTTATTAATCATTACACTTTCTCCACTGTTTTTTTCTTCTTTCTTCCAAAATCGATGGACTTCTGCCTGCAGTTTTTTGAAAATCGTCTTTTATTTCTATGAGGTAGTGATAAAACATGTGCACAAATTATATTCTCTTCGGATACTATTTTGTGAGCTTCATTAGATATGTCGTTGTTTTTGTATTTGAATAATCATTAACTATTTATCAAAATATACATCAAAATTGACTAGATGTGGAACAACTTAATTTGGCCATTAGATTCTACCCATATGGTCGTTGCTTCATTTAAATTTGAGGCATGTTTTTGATAAATAGTTGGTGATAGTTTAAACTTAAAAAAAGCAAGCACGTGATAATTCAAATAAAAAAACTCGAAAAAAGGTAAATGTTTAAAGGGTGTTTTGGTCATTAGCTCTTTAACATTTTTTAAAAAATCAATGAATTTATTAAATTATCTTTATGGAATGTCATTCATCGTTTTAATATGATTCAATCCGGGTAAACCATAGAACCATCAAATGGTGATGGCATTAGTGAATCCTTAACAAAGATTGAAATAACAATAATTGCAAATTTAAATGAATTAAAAGCCAAAAAAAGAACTATACAAAAATAAATATAATATTTTAATATGATTTGATCAAGTAACCTGTATATTCGAAAACTAATATAAAAATCATAACCCTATTAGGGAATATTTATAAAAGTGAATAATTTTTTCAAAAAAAAATTCATTTTCACCAACATAAACCTTGAGGGAACTTTGTCCATGGAAGAGTTGATTTCGACTTTGAAGAACTCATCACCATGATCATCACACTCAATAGTAACATTGTTTTTTAGAGTTCCTGCCCATGGATAGTAAAATGTAAGAGTTTTTGACAAAAAATATTTTAGAAATTTAGATAACTGGTGTTTTAGGATTGTTGTCACTTGATGTTTTGGGTAGAAAAAAACAAAGAGTACATAAATGTTACCAAAAAATTCATCACGATGGGAAAGTTTGTGCCATCTTTTACACTTTGTTTGGATCATTGTTACCTATTGTTTCATAATTTATTGTATTGTATTATACTCTATTGTACTGTATTGTATGGTTAGATGCAATGTTTGGGTATACTGTATTGTTTGTTGTTGTTTAACAACATTTTAATTGTTTGGTTTGATCGTATCGTACTGTATTGTAATTTATAAATTTACTAAAATATCCTTAATTATTCTAAAGTAGGAGTTTTGACTAGATTTAAATAATTAAGGTAAAGGGTAAAATAATATTTCGAAATATTATGTAATGATATAATTGGAAAAAGAAATTAAGTAACAATGGGAACATACCAAACTGGTTGTTCCATAAAATAGGGGTTTTCTTTGTTACATCACAACGAAATTTAATAATACAGTACAATACGATTTAAATAACAATCAAAACAAACATTGTAGGTATAGTAACAATTCAATACAATACAATAGATAACAATGATCCAAACATAGTGTTTGTGTATGAGGTGAGAGAAAAAGGTTTGATAATCTTCTTTGAAATAGTTGATATCATTTTTCTTATGGTAAAGCCCAATTAACACACACTCTCTCTCTCTCTCTCTCTATATATATATATATATATATATATATTAGATGTGCTAGTCAAAGTACAACTACTAGTTGCACATGGGAATTCAAGGACAAGTATATGTATATTGGGTATATCACAAATTGTAATATGTAATCACTGAATATACAACGGTGTATAAAGATAGATATATGTTAGTTTGTTTAACATAAGGAGAGATAAGAAGCAACATATGCTCCTATTGAATTTTTGTAGACAATAGAGTCTACGACATGCATTAAGCATAATACATTAATCGATTCTAAATAAAATAATCCTTGAAAAAAAGGGTAGGATCACAGAATAAAAAAGATCATAATAAGGATAATGTGCTCTTGAAAAGCCTACGACATAACACTTCATGAAACCTCATGAGAGGTAGCTACGTAACAATAATGAAGTGATGAGATCTCAATAAGTTATGTCGTATTGTGAACCAAACATAGAGATAGTTCGTTTACAATATCTTTGATACAATATAGCACAATATTTATTTTTAACTAATTTAATTTAACTTTTTGACTTTTCTTATTTGATTAAACATAAAGAAAAGTTTTTTCTCTTCACCATTGAAACCTAGTCGTTCCTTTAAACTTTTCAACAACAAAAATCTGTCATTAATCTAAGCATCAGCCTTTAGTCCGTCGCCCAATTCCGCTCTCCCATCCGTCCATAAGGCGAATAATTCTATTTGATTCTAAAGTTGATATGAGTCTAATGGGCAGTAGAGGCGAATCCAAAATTTGAAGATTTCGATGCATCAATACTTTCTTAATTTAGGTAGTTAGCGAATCTTTTACTACAATTAGCGAATAATGTAGTATTTTCTTGGTCAATAATGACTTAAACATGAGCTCTAAGCTAAAGTTAAAATTAAAAAAATAAAATAGCTAGGTTCTAGCTAGATTTGAATTGTACTCTCGTGAGTGTTCCTCTAGCTTGTACCAACTACACAAGGACAACCATACCTACGGTTCTTATAGGTGCACTGTTGATTATACATTTCTCTAGTATGTTTTTTCGAAGTTAACGGGTGCACCCTTATCAAATCATGTGGATCCGCCTCTGCTTGGCACCCAGTAACTCGAAATCCTAGATTCGCCTCTGTCTGTTATACCCTTATCTAGTGGTCTTTTGAGGTCAATTTTTTAATAAATGAACATAAATTAGTTTATTTTGATTAATTATATTGACCAATAAACATGAATTAGTTATATGGTTTTCCTATATTGGTCAAATCCATATTTTCAAGACTAATAATTCTCAAGATTAAAATAAGAAGAATAATATGGTATACATTAATTTATTGAAATGGTAAATATTAAGAAACATCTATTTTTAATAAAAGCAACATATAAATATGAACGAAAAAATATAGTAATTTAACTCTTAAGAGTTTAGAATTTAACTTTAACATTAAAAGGCAATTCATGAATTTGTTATCAAAAATAAATTATGCATATTTTTTTCTTGATAATAATTCTACTACTTAACTATAAGTGTGGATAACCACATAGTTGGTGATCAGCATGTCTATTTCAACTGTGTGGCTCCACACTTACACATATATTTGCCTATTTTTTTTTTCATTTTAATTTATTTGTCTTATTTTTATTTTTTCATGTATTTAAATATGTGTAGAAAATACTATAAATTATGATAATTAACAACTTAAATTTTTTTTAAAAAAAAATTCAATAGCTTATCGATTGATTCATAATATTAATCTATCGGTTTCACTTAAAATGGGACAAAAGAAGTAGCATGTATTATTTAATTAGAAAATCAAGTAAAAAAAATATTGTAAATCTATAAAGATTAACAACGCCACATGTGTGGTTATCTACACTTATAGTTAAGTAGTAGATTTGTGCTACATATATTAGGACAAGGAAAATAACATATATTATTTTAAAATTACGTAAAAAGTAGTACAAATTACAATAATTAACAACTTAAAATATTTGAAAATCATATTAAAAGCTTCATCCTATATGATCCTGCTTCAACACCTCCACGTCTTTCATTCTCTCAGGTATCTCCTTTAAATTTGGACAGTTATGGATTCCAAGACCTTTAATCAGAGGCATCGCATTTGTGCCTAAATCCCATCTTTCTAGCTTTGAAAGATCACCAAGATGAAGGAATTCGAGTTGACTGAAGCTGTTATCACTGCATATTATTTCTTTTCCTTTATAAGCACATTCTAATATGAGATTTTTTAGGTTTGACAACATTCCCAAGATAGGCATCGGATCTTTTGTCAGTAACGAATCCCAAAGAACCAACTTTGTGATGGAATTTGAAAACAGATTAGGCAGTTTCTCTATTATCCCTCTTAGCCATAATTTTTGGAGCTTTTCACAACAACTAACAAATTCAAGGGATGGGAATGATTGACCCTGTCTACAAAACAATCTGAGAGTGCTAAGGTTTTTCAAGCTGCTAATGTTGTTTAGGGAGTAAGATTTGCTAATATACTCCATGCTTAATTCTCGAAGGTTGACTAAATCAACAGGGTCAACATCTTTCCATTGATCACAATGGATGCTATCAACAACTTGAAGACTAGTGAGTTTGCTTATATGTACCAGAGGTTTTGTATACCGAGCAACTAAATGTCTTAGATTTATCAGGTCAGCTGTCTCGCGGGGTAGTTTGCAAGGGTATCCCCCCTCATTGACAACAAGTGTCTGTAGATTCTTGAGGTTGCCAATGGAAGACGGAAGATCATCAATACCTCTCAATCTTAAGAACTTGAGGTGGCACAAACTTCCTATGGCATCAGGTACTATAGACATATTGTCAAAACGCATATCCAAGTACAACACATATAGATGTTGGAACACACTCAAGTTTATAAGACTCATCTTACAAAAATCTGGATCGAAGAACATAATTGACCTCAACTTTAAGTTAGAAAGATCAAGTGAGAGGTACTTTTCTCCTCGACTATATATCACATGTCTGATACATAAAGAGGATATAGAGTGGCTTCTTGGATCATAAATGTCAAAGAAGTTTACCTCCGATGCCTTTTGTATCGCAAGATCATGTAGTAAATCATGAAGCCTACAATCAGTAACTCTTTCCCAAAATGTTCTAGCCACTTGAACCAAGCTTCGTCTTATCAGTTCATTCAAGAAGCCTTCAGCGACATCCTCCATTCTTTCTTCTCCTCTTGGTATGAAACCCTCCGCCATCCACAATCGTATTATGTTATCAACCCCGACCACTCGATCTTCTGGAAAAGTACCAAAGTATAGAAAACACTGCTTAAGCGCAGTTGACAAATCATTGTAGCTTAAGGATAGTATATTAGAGATTTCAATAGAGTTATCTTCTTTAATGTTCTTCCAAAGGTGATCTTTCACCTTTTGCCATTCGTTTAGCCCCTTTTTATGTGAAAGTAGTCCGCTCAATACAACAATTGCAAGCGGTAAGCCCCTACACTTTTCCACCATATCCTTAGCTAGACTTTCCATTTCTGGAACCATTGCTCGAACATCAAGTAGTTTCCTACGAAAGAGATCCCAACTTTCTTCTTGACTTAGAAAACGAAGTTTATGAACAAAACCTCTATTGTCTGCCCTTTCAGCAACATCCTCTTTGCGCGTGGTAATAATGACTCTGCTGCCATTCTTGCTATCCGGGAATGCTCTTTTCAAACTCTCCCATGCTTCTCTCTCCCATACATCATCAACCACCACAAGGTATTTGCGTTCTTTCAGTAGATCACGAATGTAAATTTCAAGATCTCCTTCTGTCATCCTTTCCAACAAATCTAGAGTTTCCTTAGTGCGACCTTGGATGGATTTTATGATATTCCTAAGAAGATCCATTGTGTTGTACTCTTGAGAAACACATATCCAAGCGCGTGTAGGGAAACTAGAGGTTATATTAGGACAGTTGTAAAGTTTTCTGGCAAGAGTGGTCTTGCCTAAACCCCCCATTCCATAAATGGAGAGGACGGTTCGACGAGGCTCTGCTTTGAGAAGTTGATCTAGCAATGTTTGTACAACATCCTGAAGTCCAACAAAAATGTAATCGTGGTCATCGACATATGAGGTAGTTCTCCTCAATGTTGTAACCTGATTACTCTTCCCTTGATCTCCTGAATTGATATTTGTAAGAGGTTTTAACCAAACTAATCCATTATATAAAGTCATTTACCAAAATAATATGTTTTTCTAAAATTTTACAAAACTAGTATAAACGTATTCCACAGTAACGTTTTAGCATATATTTTATTTTTTAAAAGTTGATGGTGTCAGATTGATATATGTTACTCACATTAACGTTTTACTCCTAAAACGTTACTCACAGTAACGTTTTAGGAGTAAAACGTTACTGAAAATAACGTTTTAAAAGTAAAACGTTATTTACAGTGACATATATCAACCTAATGCTGTTAGTTTTTTTAAAAATAAAATATACCCTAAAACGTTACCATGAAATACGTTTATACTAGTTTTGTAAAATTTTAGAAAAATGTATTACTTTGGTAAATTGTTTTATATAATGACTTAGTTTGGTTAAAAATTCTATTTGTAATACCATAAGTCTCTCGTTTGCGAGAGATATCCATGATTCTTTGCTTGAGTGATTGGATCTCCTTGGCGACATTGTAGAATTTCTTCCCCTTCCTACATATGCAAGTGCAACCCTTGAGATGAGTAGCACGTTTACCAGCCTCGAAGGTGTAAGTTTCGAGTATAGCAACAGCATCATTAGCAGTAGAGTTGATCTCAAACACCCATTGTTGAACTCTTTGATCTCCGGATTGCTTTAGTTCTGCATCTCTGAGGAAAGACTGCATGAAGAGAAGCTCGTTTCGCAGCCATTGTATATCTTCTCTTAGACTTAAACGTAGGTTAATTTCCTGTATTAGGAAATCACCCAATTTTTGAACTGCAAATGACACAAAGGCATCAGCCATCTTTAGTTAGTTTTGATTGAAAAAAAGAGGAGGTTGTATACAAGTTGGAGAATGGGCGATACTGTAATATCAAGAGCAAATAATGTGTTCAATTAAGGGTCCACTTATCACTTTAAAGCAAATGAAAGTTTTATAATTAAAAGAAATTACGATTAGACAAAGGCAAGTGCAAATGAAAGTTGCCATTATCAAAAAGGAAAAGATGTGTTAAAACTTTTTGAAATTTCCCACTAAAGAGAAAGGTACCTTTTTTTTTTGGGAATGTTTATTAGTGGTATTTAAATATCTAGTAATTTTGTTTGTTTCAGTTAGGTCAAAAATGACTTTTCTTCGTAACTTAAGAAAAATATTTTTCATAAACTCTCTTCCAATCTCCCCTACCCAACCCACCCTATCAGCCCACAATCCACCCCCACCAACCCACCTCCTACCAGCCCCCACCCCTACCAGCCCTCCCTATCCTTAAAAAAATTTTGAGTTTATTTTTTTAAAAATATTTTCAATTTCAAAATTTCATTTTTTTTCATCCATATCTTAACCTCCCCCGAAAAAAAAAATTGTAAGTTTGTTTTTAAAAAATATTTTAAATTTCAAAATTTCATTTTTTCACCCTCTACTCTGGACCCCTCACCCCCAAAAAAACTTAATTAATATTGTATTTAAAAAAAATTAACTTCAAATTTTAATTTTTCTTACTTTAGTAAAAAACAAAAGATATTTCTCAAAAACATTTTCTACTCAAAATCCAAACACTAAAATATTTTTTCGAAAAATATTTTCTACTTATCAACCAAACATGAGAAAATAAGTTAAATATCTACTTGTTTTCCAGAAAAACATTTTCCTTTATACCAAACACATCATTCGTCTTCTTGGTTTTCCCTCTCTCTCTCCATTAGATTCTCGATTTCCTTTTGGTATGTGCCTTAAGATTTTCCCTTCGACCCCTTCATTTATGTGCCAGAATAGAGAGAGATTTGGTAGGGAAGTGTTCTCTTTTATTTTTCATAATTCCATTAGAACATCAAACGACTTTCTTTCAGTTATATTAAAACATACTTTGATACCGAGTTGATCAAATAGTTAATTGATCAATAAGTGATATCACACATATGGATGGCAACTCAGCATCAAAGTGTGTTTTAATATAAAAAAGAATGAATATTGAAAACCACTTCTACACTTAGTGCAACTTAGTAGTTGCATCCTCAAACTATTGATAACCGTACAAACACATCTTTTTATTTTATAACTAAAAGATGTACATCTCAAGAAAAGGAAGAACTTTATTTTCTGCAAAATATGCATATTTTATATCCATTTTACTTTATTTTCGTACTCAAAATTGTTTATATAGAGAGAAGAGTCTATATAGAGGAGGTTGTATATTGAAAAACAAGTTAGAAAATGGGAGATAGATGCACTCAGACATAAATAGTGTGTTCAAAAGGTTTACAATTAGACAACCATTAATCAAAAAAGATAAAAGTTGCAACTAGCTATGTGAAAAGTATATATTTTTATTAAAAAAAATGTATTATCTTCTTCACTAACAAAAGTATTTTTTTTTTTATAAAAAAATGTATTATCTTCTTCACTAACAAATTTTGAATTACTCGTGATGGCTTATAAAAAACAAAAAAAATTGATCAATAAGTATCATCACTAGGCAACTGACGATAGATAGATTGAGAATAGAATAAATTTAAAGAAATATATAGGTTTTAAGCCATCCATAATCTCTTAAAATTATTCATAAAATTCATTTTGCTAAACACCTTCTGTCTCCACTTTTCTTCTTTTTATTTTATTATTTTATTTTATCCCATTCTTTCTTCTCCTCTGGATATTAAATCTTTTTGAAATTTTCCACTAAACAAAAGGTAATTGTTTTTTTAATTAAAGCATCTTCAACCACCATTATACAACTTGGGGAAAACACACATATAGAGAAAAGTCTTGAAAAATTAAAGCAACTTCAACAATCATTGCACCATTTATGAAAAATATATATTGAGAAAAGATGAGTAATATCTCAAAAAGTCACGCAAATATGTAAAATTATTTGAAAAAATCACATAACTTGCTTTAATATCAATAAAGTCACTGAACTTATGTACTTTCTTTTATAAAATTACTCAACTTAAGCTATTTTTTTAGAGAAGTATTATAACAAAAAGATAGAAGAGATAATTGCACAAACTATCCTTCGAATTTAGTTTTGTAACTAAATTTCACAAATTGATGGAATATCCATAGAGAGATCAAAATCACAAATTGATGAAATATCCATAGAGAGATCAAAATCAATCATCCTAGTTCGAGAAACACGTCACTAACAACCCCCGAATCATGGATAAATATACTAGAGAGGAATCAAGGAGGAACATATATAATTGTACCTACATATTTATTAATAAAATATTTTTATTTCTTCAGATTTTATTTATGATTGATTTAATTTCCATATATTATCTTAGTTCGTGAAACACATCACTAACACTTGAATCATGGATAAATCTTATGAGAAAGGAATCAAGGAATCAACATATCTGTACTCAAAAAATTTTATGAAATAAAATTATGTTTCTTTCATATTTTAATTATGATTGCAATTTATTTTTCTATCACTGTAAAACTTGTTACAAACAAAACAAACTTATTATCAAATTCCAAAAATTACAAACCAAAAAAAAACCCAACAAAAATGAATAAACAAATAAAAAGAAAATGAAATATTGCACCTCAAAAAGGTGCTACAAACTCTAGAAATAAAACACTTTGACCTAACTTTCAAAGTAAAATAGAACACTTTGACCTAACTTTCAAAGTAAACTACGTGTTATTAACTCAGTTCATTTTGACCTGTTCATTTGACGCCCTTAAAAAGGAGTAGCAAATTGGAGGAGGTCCTTGTCATTCTTGAAAATAGACATGTGTTGTTCATTCAAATTTACAAAGGCTTCAACTGCTCTATCATGATCATCAGGTGTATTCATTAAGATAAACAAGTTGCTAAATGAACCACTTTCTTGGCTTGCTCTTGTAGGTTTCCCAAATCCAAAATCTATTTTTTCGAACTCGAATGCTAATATACTAGTAATAGTATAAATATCACAATTCCTTTGATGGAATGGTAATTTACCTGTTTTATATGCCTCCAACATCACTTCGACATATTCATTTTCTTCTAGATTGTTTCTGGTGGGTAGGTCGTGTTTGGACTTTCTTATATCGGTTACTAATTTTGGAAGTTTGAGGTCATGTTCGTAGTTCTGTATATTGGTGTGGAAAATATAGTGGCAATATTTCCTATGCTGGTTGGTGGTAGTGGTGTTTGACTTCGCAAGTTTGATGTTTGGACTAACTGAGATCGTCCTGATTTGGTAGTAGAAGAAGAAGCGGCGCATTTGTAGAGGAGGGCACTCACTACCTCATTCCTCGTTGGGTTTTGCACACAGGATTCTGCAACAACCAAAGCTTTAAGCGCGTTTATCTTGGATTCAGAGAAAACGAACCTCTTTTGAATACATCTTTCCTTTTTTGGCTCAATAACAGGGGGAATAGAGGAACATCAAATGGTATTGATGGCATTAGTGAGTCCTGAACAAAGTATGGAGGAGATAATGCTAATTTTGGTTCTCGAGTTAACCTAGCCCAATCCCTCAAGAAGAAGTAAGCGCTGCACGCGTCTCCCACCTGTTAGGATTGAAATAACAAGACATGCGTCATGCATGCAGAAGTTAATAATTGCAAACCTTGAGCAAGTCATAAGAAATAGAAAGAACTATACTATAACACCACCTTGTGGGACATGCAAAGACTAAGCGCGATAAGACATGTGTCATGCATGCAGAAGTTAATAATTGCAAACCTTGAACGAGTCATAAGAAATAGAAAGAACTATACTATAACACCACTTTGTGGGACATGCAAAGACTAAGCGCGATAAGACATATGTCATGCATGCAGAAGTTAATAATTGCAAACCTTGAACGAGTCATAAGAAATAGAAAGAACTATACTATAACACCACCTTGTGGGACATGCAAAGACTAAGCGCGATTCCTCCACACTCAAAATGACTTAATTGTACGACAATTAAGACACCAGATGTCGACGAAGACAAATACCCCCAAGATAAGCCTTTAGGGAATGTCAAATCAGGGTTATGAATAACTTCATTCATGGATGAGTTGATTTCAACTTCGAAGAACTCAGCACCATGATCATCACACTCAATGGTAGCATTGTTTATTAGACTTCCTGCCCATGGATAGTAAGATGCTAGAGTTTTTGACAAAGAGTTTGTTAGAAATTCAGAAAACTGGTGTTTTGGGATTGTAGCCACTTGATGGTTTGAATAGAAAAAAACAAAGGGCATATATAAATTATCAACAACTTGATCAATAAGGGAAAGATTGTGCCATCTTTGAGTAGATGGGGTGGGAGAAGAAGGTTTGATAATCTTCTTTGAGATAATTGGTATCATTTTTTTAAAGTGATAAGTATGTCTTTCTACTTTTAGGCTCATATCAAATAACTATATATATATAGCGGTGATAATCGAACTGAATTTGGATGGATCAAAATTGATTGAGTTAATGAACAAAATGAGGTGTTATTCCGCCTAAAAGTTACTTGGATTGAGTTAATATTTACGTAATAAGAAGAAAACTGACAAAAATATATCTAGGTCATGCTGACTCTTTCTAAATTTACTACTAAGCTCAACTCTTGAATAATCCCAAATCTGCTGACTCTTATAATTTTGGAGTTTATTTAAGTGAAGTTTTTAGTAGATAAAATATTTATTGAATTAAAACAAATTAAATCAAAACATGAAACTACATGTGGACTTGCCTATAATTGATATTAGTGTCTTTAACTTGATCTTATTTCATATTTATATCCTCAAATTTTAGATGTGTGTAAGTAGACCGTTAAACTTAATTATATAAAGTTGAATATGTCGATACATAGGTCTTATGTGACATAATACATGTCGGACACAACGCAGAACACGAATAGTTATGTAGAAAGCCACGTAGAATGGCATGCTTATTTGTTCAATTTTATACAAATTTAAGTGTCTACTTGTATACACTCAAAATTAGAGGACATAAATGTAAATAAGATCAAGTTAATGAATAATGACAAATTTATGTATTTTGTCATTTAGAAAAGCTTTTGTTGTTCATGAATAAGGGCATATTAGGAAAAAAACATAAAACTTGTCTCGAAAAGTTAATTACACAATTAAACTATAATGATTCATCAGTGGTGTATTACATTGCCACATCAACACCACGTCAAAAATAATAATTCGTTATGTTTTTCTAATTTTTATTAATTAACTTTTTTTTTGTTAACTCTATTTTACACTAATTAATTCATAAATAATTATTAAAATTCTCTAATAATTATATCTTTTTTATCACTGAATTTCACCCACTGTATCTCTTATCTCACTCGAAAAATTATTTATTCGTATTTATATCACAATTTTTTTCATCTGCTCCGAAAAAGGACAATCAACACATCACCATCATCAACTCAAATCAATCACCAACAAACACAGAACATACCTCTTTCCCTTGCTCTTTTTCAATTTTATTCTTTTGATTTGTTTGCGGAGCTAATGATATTATCTCCTTTTAAAGATAATATGATATTTTAGCGTTCATCCTCATGTTCTTGTTATTCTTAATTCACTACTTTTCATTAATTTTTATATTTTTAAATTAAAAAAATTATTATTTGCTGCTACAGGGTTCCCACAGTTTGTAAACACTCATTTCAAACATAGATCCTTTGAATTTTTTATTTAAGAAAAAAAAAACTGATATTAACACTTTATTTGGATGGTTGTTACGTATTACTTCATAATATATTGTATGGTGTTATACCATATATCTTACTTTATTGTTTTAATGAATACAGTGTTTGAATAGATTGTATCGTTCTCCACCGTTGCATAATGGAACATATTCATAATTTGAGTGATAAAACTACAAGAAAAGTAACTTACAACAGTGTCGGAATCAAGATTTTTGATAGGGAGGTTCAAAATTTGAGAAGTAACACACAAATTAATGGAAAGGGGTCCGACAATTTGTTATACATATCTAAAAAATAATTTTAAACCTAAAAATAGTAATATTTTCGGTCAAATGGATTCGGATGAACCCCTAAGTGTATGTTGTCTCTGCCCCTGGGTTACGGGGTAGAGCTATTATGAAAGGTAGGACAAAAGATGAAATGTAAACTTTAAATAATAAATAAAGATAGAATGAGAAAAAATATTAATGTAACAAAGTGATCACACCAAATCGGTCGTTACGTAACGATGGATTCAAACGATACAATACAGAATCAAAACAAACATTATATTTAATGAAGAACATATGTCAGGTAAATTCGAATGCTAATAGACTAGTAATCATATAAAGATCACAATTCCTTTGTTGGGATGGCAATTTACCTGTTTTATGTACCTCCAACATCTCTGTAACAAACATATTTTCTTTTATATGGTTTCTGGTGGAGAGGTCGTGTTTGAACTTTCTTATATCGGTTACTAATTTTGACAATTTGAGGTTTTGTTTGTAGTTTTCATATATTGGTGTGGATAACATAGTGAATATTATTTCCTATGGTGGTTGGTGGTAGTGGCGGTTGTAAACATGCCTGACTTCGCAAGTTTAAGGTTAGAACTAACTGAGATCACCTATAATTGGTAGTAGAAGAAGAAGCGGCACATTTGTAGAGGAGGGCGATCACGACCTCATTCCTTGTTGGATTTTCCACGCAGGATTCTGCAGCAACTAAGGCTTTAAGCGCGTTTATCTTGGATTCCGAGAGAACAAACCTCTTTTGGATATATCTTTCCTTTTTTTCGCTTTGTAACAGGGGAAAACAGAGGATCATCTAATGATATTGATGGCATTAGTGAATCTTTAACAAAGTATGGAGGAGATAATGTTAATTTTGGATCTCGAGTTAACCTAGCCCAATCCCTCAAAAAGTAGTAAGCGTTGCACGCGTCTCCCACCTGTTAGGAATGAAATAACAAGACATCATGCATGCACAAGTTAATAATTACAAACCTTGAACGAGTCAGAAGAAAAAGAAAAAAGTAAAATACGAGGTAAACTCTAACACCACCTTGTTGATATCATTTTTTTTTAATGATACATACGTCTTTCTTCTTTTAGGCTCGTATCAAATAACTATATATAGCGATGACAATTGAACTGAATTATGATGGATCAAAATGATTTGAGTTAATAAGCAAATCGATTATTAGTCTGTTCAAATTGATAATGTTATGATCAAGAGAGGGATAAATGTTATGAGAGAAGAATAAAAGGATGAACAGAACTGTACCGCACTACTTATCAATAAAATATTCTTGTTTCTTTCATATTATATTTTATTTCTGATTGTAATTACTCTCTATCACATTGAAATTTATCGCAAACACCTAGATATTATTCATACATATTGAAGAATACATGCATTTGTGGTATAGTTGCATCATCCATGCAGTAGTGTAGTTCTGTTTTTGGTAAAATACGTATTCGTATACGGTGTCTACATTGGATTTATTCAACTTATTATGATCAACTAATTTTCAGAAATTTACGTCGATTGGACTTTTTGTAAGGCCGATGTTTAATTTTTGACCCCGTTAAAGATAAAATTATGCAAAATGAAAATATATACCTCCATCAATTATTAAGTTTTTTTTTTTTTTACTTAAAAGTAGTTTGTTTGAATACAAGTTTGGTAAACAATAATAGAGCATAAATAATTACGTCATTAGAAAAAGAAAAAGACAAATAATATCTAAGTCATGCTGACTAATCTAGATAAATATTGAAAATTTTGCTTCAAAGCTTAATTTAAAAATTTTATTTTGATGTAACTATGAATCGTTTTGAGTAAAAATATATCGAATAACTTAAAACATCAAGAGGAGCTTATATCGAAAATTTTAGAACTATTTAGAGCAACTTTGAATTGGTCTGGACTAGAAAAAAAAAACTACAATGTATAAATATTATATTAAACATGGTATATTAATGTGTATATACATATATATGTAAGAAGATTTTCTATTTTCTAAACCTCGTAGATTTTGGAGCTGTTAGTTTGGACTTGGTCCATTGCTTCACCGAAATCCAACCTAATCTGCTATATGATAGGATTGAGCAAATACAGTATTAAATAGTCTAGGGGAGGTAATAGTTCCTCATGAAAGTGTAGTATCGTAAAAATAAATTTGATTAAAGTTGAGATATTTTTGGGATCCTATATATATATATATTATCTGTCGAAAGCATACATAAAGTTATTCAATTTTAATTGATAAAATGAGATTAAAAAAAAAACAAAGTATTTCCTACATTTTATTTATTAAAGTGATGATTTTTAGAAAGAAATAAAAATAAAAATAATGTTATTTATGTTAGATTGTAGAGCCTGATTAATATTTGATGTACTGTCATAGATTAATGTTTACGCGGTTCAACCTAAAATACTCTGAATTAATCTCCATTTGTTCTCTGTAACCTAAAATACTCTGAATTATTAATATATATACCCACCGCCGTGGAAGTTTACTCACGGGGTGTTACCACGAAATATTGGTTTCTCTCTCTAGATCTCTCATCTCTTTCTCTTGAAAGTTCTTGTGTTCTTAATCCATCAAGTGTGTGTGGATTCGATCCTAACACTTTAATAGTATTTTAATTCGAAATAAGATGTTTTTAAAAAGAAATCATATCATATATATTATTACTATTATTATTATTACAAGTGGAAACCCTGTAAGTGCAAAGTTGAATTACCATTTTGTCTACGTGTTAAATCAAATGATATAAACTATTAAATATTATGTTAAATTTGTTAGTGACTTTTGAAGTCCAAATCAGATGTTTGAAAATTTATTTTGATCCAACATCAAGTACAGTATACAAGACATATGGGGATAAAGGAAGTGGAAAAGGCAAGGTTTGTTTGGATCAATTTTGTGGCTTTATAGTCTTCTATTATGGAAAACTCAATTCACTTTTGATTAATTTTCAATGAAATTTCAAGATTTTCAATTTTTTATTTTAAATTTTTTCATCTAGATAAGTTAAAAGAGTATTTATTTTACTTTATTTTTGTCTTTTCTTTGGTGTTATTATGTGGGTATTGCACGAAGGATTAGTTGTTTGGTGAAAGTGAACATTTCATATTTTTAACTTTTTTAGCATATCATCAGTTCTAAGGCAGCAAATATTCTTTATATATCATGCATTCACATAGATGTAATTGGAATTGGTATATCACAGTTATAGAGAGACAAAGTAAGAACCACAATTAGACACATTTTTTTAAAAAAAGAACTCAAATCAAATTATTTAATATTATTAATTTTAAAAAGAAATAATGTATTCATTAATACGATGAGTTACACGCGTGAAGCTCGTATCCGGAAACTAGTACAAAAAAAATACTTGAAAAGCTTCACCACTTATAATAATTCCTCTTCAATAGGTCCACGTCTTTCATTCTCTCAGGAATGTCCTTTAAATTTCGACAATCATGGATACCAAGACCTTTAATCAGAGGCATGGCATTCGTGCCAAGATACAATCTTTCTAGCTTCTCGAGATCATAAAGAATAAGAAACTGTAGTTGACTGAAGCTGTTATCACTGCACATTAGTTGTGTTCCTTCATAAGCTCTAACCAAATCAAGATTCCTTAGGTTTGGCAGCATTCCCAAAATACGCATCGGATCTTCTCTCAGTAATGAGTCCCATAGAACCATCATTGTGATGGAACTCGGAAACAGATGAGACAGTTTCTCTATTCTCCCTCTTAACCACAATTTCTGGAGCTTTTCACAACAATTAAGAAATTCAAGGGATGGGAACGGAGATGAGTTGCCATACCCACCCGACAATCTGAGAGTGCTAAGGTTTTTCAAGTTGCTAATGTTGTTTAGGGAGTAAGATTTGTCAATATAGTGCATACTTAATTCTCGAAGATTGACTAAATCAATAGGGTCAACATCTTTCCACTGATCACAACTAACGCCTTTAAGAACTTGAAGACTTGTGAGTTTGCTTATATGTACCAGAGGTTTTGTATACGGAGCAACCAAATGGCTTAGATTTATTAGGTCAGTTGTCTCGCGGGGTAGTTGGCATAAGTACCCATAGTCATTGACAAGAAGTGTCTGTAAATTCTTAAGGTTGCCAATGGAAGAGGGGAGATCATAGATACCTCTCAATCTTAAGAACTTGAGGTGGTACAAAGTTCCAATGGCATCAGGTACGTTTATAGACATATTCCCAACATTCATATCCAAGTGCAACACATATAAATGTTGGAACACACTGCTGAAGTTTATAAGACTCGTCTTACGAAAATCTCGATCGAAGAACATAATTGACCTCAACTTTAAATTAGAAAGATCAAGTGAGAGATACCTTTCTCCGTGACTATGAATGCCATGTCTGATATATAAAGAGGATATGGAGTGGCTTTTTGGATCATAAATGTCAAAGAAGTTTACCTCCAATGCCTTTTGTATTGCAAGATCATGGAGTAAATCATGAACCCTACATTCAGTAACTCTTTCCCAAAATGTATCTACCACTTGAACCAAGCTTCGTCTTATCAGCTCATTCAAGAAGCCTTCAGCGACATCCTCCATCATTTCTTCTCCTGTTGGTATGAAACCCTCCGCCATCCACAACCGTATTATGTTATCAACCTTGACCACTTGATCTTCCGGGAAAATACCAAAGTAGAGAAAACACTGCTTGAGCGCAATTGACAAATCATTGTAGCTTAATGACAGTATGTTGGAGATTTCAATAGATTTATCTTCTTTTATGTTCTTCCAAAGGTGATGTTTAACCTTTTTCCATTCGTTTATCCCCTTTTTATGCGAAAGTAGTCCGCTCAATACAACAATTGCAAGAGGTAAGCCTCTACACTTTTCCACCATATCCTTAGCTAGACTTTCCATTTCTGGAACCACTGATTGAACATCAAGTAGTTTCCTACAAAAGAGATCCCAACTTTCTTCTTGGCTTAGGAAACGAAGTTTATGAACAAAACCTCTGTCATCTGCTCTTTCAGCGACATCCTCTTTGCGCGTGGTAATAATGACTCTGCTGCCATTCTTGCCATCTGGGAATGCTCTCTTCAAACTCTCCCATGCTTCTTTCTTCCATAAATCATCAACCACCACAAGGTATTTGCGTTCTTTTAATAGATCACGAAGATAAATTTCTAGATCTCCTTCTGTCATCCTTTCCAACAAATCTAGAGTTTCCTTGGTGCGACCTTGGATGGATTTTATGATATTCCTAAGAAGATCCGCAGTGTTGTACTCTTGCGAAACACATATCCAAGCGCGTGTATGGAAGCTGTTGAGTATATCAGGACGGGTGTAAAGTTTTCTGGCAAGAGTGGTCTTGCCTAAACCCCCCATTCCATAAATGGAGAGGACGGTTCGCCGCGGCTCTGGTTTGAGAAGTTGACCTAGCAATGTTTGTACAACATCCTGAAGTCCAACAAAAATGTAATCGTGGTCATCCACATATGAGGTAGTTCTCCTCAATGTTGTAACCTGATTACTTGGCCCTTGATCTCCTGAGTTGATATTTGTAATACCATAAGTATCTCGTTTGCGAGATATATCCATGATTCTTTGCTTGAGTGATTGAATCTCCTTGGAGACATTGTATAATTTCTTCTCCTTCCTACATATGCAAGCGCAAGCCTTGAGCTGACTAGCACGTCTACCAGCCTAGAAGCTGTAAGTCTCGAGTAAAGCAACAACATCATTAGCAATAGAATTGATCTCAAACACCCATTGTTGAACTCTTTGATCTCCACATTGCTTTAGTTCTGCATCTCTGAGGAAAGACTGTATGAAGAGTAGCTCGTTTCGGAGCCACTGCACATCCTCTCTTAGACTTAAACGTAGGTTAATTTCCCGAATGAGGAAACCACCCAGTTTTTGAACTGCAAATGACACAAAGGCATCACCCATCTTTAGGGGCCTGTTTGGATTTTTTACTGAGTTACAGCAATACATGAACTATTCTACATTTATAACGACAGGGGATAACTCTTTCCTCTTATTAAAATACATATTGGAGAATGTCAAATCAAAACTTGGCTGTTCATTGCTGCCAAGAAGAACTAAGTATAATTTAGTTTACTTTCTTCTCTTTGATTATTATTATTCATTGTTATTTGTTAGTACACACAGAATTTAAAAAATTGGTTTGGATCTTGCTCTATAATCAATCAATATATGACTTTTGCAATATTCCATCAGTTTAAAAAATTGTAAGTCAACTTGTGGACACATTCCCCCTCTCTCTCTTTCCCACATTTTTTAGTTCACATACATGCCAAGTTGAGAGGTCTTATGGAAATGGTAGTTCAACAATGTCATCTTTCGTCACTTATCATTATCGATATTAATTAAAAACTTCTAACTTGAATGTTATATTACTATGGTATATCCTTAACTTTGGTTGCGACTTTTTCAATAAGGGTCAAGACTTATCAGATAAGACACAAAAAAACACGTGTTCATACTACCCTTTGTTGACTAACTTAATAGAGGGACTTCCTCTTATTTTTCAGCTACTCTTCTTATTCTTGAACTTTAAAATTAATATTTGTTGTGATTTATAGTCGTTGAGTGAGTTCGAAGTTTAGCGGAATATGAGGTACCACTATTTATATGAACGAAAATCATTCAATATAACCTCGAGTACTTGAAAAAAATAATTCTGATGATATAATTATGAAAAATTAACATCCCACACACATTTAAGAGGAAAAATATCAAGTTGTAATCATACTCTTAAAAATAAACTAGTTATAACATATTATTATCATCTTATAGCACATCAATTAATAATATATTAATTAAAAAATATATATTTAAAAATAAACTATTTATAGCATATTATTATCAAGTTATAGCATATTAACTAATAATATATTAATAAAAAAATTATTTTATTATTTAACTAATAATTATTATGTTTAAATAATTAGTTTGATTTATTCACTTACCTTTTATCAACAAAACCTTTTAAATTATTACTGATTAATCAATTACCTTTTAAAGTTTTTAATATAAATAATAAATTATATTTATTAAATACTAATTAAACTTCATATTATATAGTTACCTTTTAAAAAATAAAATCTAAAAATTAAGGATTTAATTTTAATTAATTTCATATTATATGGTTATCCAATAACTATCCACCTCATATCAACCAATACTCTTTTATCTTCCCCCAATACACTCAACCTCTCCCCATTTATTAATGATTAGGCGTGGGTAAGGGGGAGGTTGGAAAAGGTTTTTGGAAAATGTTCTCTTAAGTTTTGAAGGGAAGTCATTTTTCTTGAATTTGAGGAAAATAATTTGATTTGGAAAACATTTTTCAAAACATTTGACCCAACCAAACATTAGAAAAATTGGAAAATATTTATACCAAACACACCCTTATCATTCCGCCGTTTTTAAAAATGAGTTTTCGTTTGTTGACTTTATTAAGAAAAGTTTTAAATTCCGTACTATTTTATGCCAATGTGATGAATGAATGTTAAGGCTTGTAGAAGACCTCCAAAGGTTGAATACGTCATGCTACGACTAGGGGTGCTCTCATATCGTGACACTGTGGGTCGTAGAAACATCTATTCTCGTGTAATCATGTTCTTCAAAAGCTTTAATTTTTTTAAAATGATATATTCAAAATATTTAATAATTCAAAATATTTAAAATAATTATTTTTGTATCTCAAATTAACTTTTGTTTTAATTTAACTTATTTTCTCATTAGGTTCCTAACTCCCAACCAAACAACTCCTAATTCTTTCCCCTTTCATCAAGCGATTTGTCTGTGTCTTCTTGATTTTTCCCTCTTTCTCTCCATTAGACACTCAATTTTCTTTTGCGTATTTGCCTTTAGATTTTTCCTTCTCGTATTTACTTGAATTGGGTATAACCCATTTGAATTTTCAACTTTGTATCTGATTTTTCGGTTTAAAAATCGATTCTTTTGGTCAAGAACTGATATGGGTGTTGGAATTTCTGTGCTTATAGCCATAAAGTCAGTAACTTTATTCATATTATTTGCAACTCTCAAGAATTATGGGTACCCATTATTGTCAATACCTTGTTTGTATGCATCATTGGTATCTTTGTTGGTAGCATTAGCTGCTAACCCTTCAATTGATCTTCCAATTCTTTTGGGGAAAAACACAGATGGGACATTCCCAATTTGGTCACTTGTGATGTTTAGTCCTTACTTGTATTTTGTTAGGGGTTTTTCAGCTTTGAGAAGAATGAAGAGTGGGGAACCTCCATATAGTGAGATTTCTGAAGGGTTGTATGTTGGGGGTTGGCCTTGTTCACTTGATAAATTGCCACCTGGTAATCCTGCTATTATTGATTGTACTTGTGAGATGCCTAGGATGTTGGAGTTTACTGGAAATCATGCATTTTTGTGTATTCCAACTTGGGATACTAGGTCACCTCAGCCAGCTGATATAGAGGTTGCTATTAAGTGGGCTTGTAGAAAAAGAGCTCAGAAGATACCTGTTTTCATCCATTGTGCATATGGTATGATTGTGAACTTTAAAACTTTTTGTTTCAGATGAATGTATTTGTAGTCGATTATCGCATTATTTTGTTTTCGTTACTGATCTTTCTCCTGTTGGTTGTTGTTATTGCTCCAGTATCTGTATTCCCTTTTTCAAACTGTTTGTCATGCTTTATTTAAGTTGAGGGTCTATCCGGAACAACCTCTCTATCGTAGGGGTAAGATATGTGTATATTTAACCCTCACTAGACCTCACTTGTGGGATTACACTGGGTATGCCATTGTTGTCAAGTGGGGTCATGTTTTTCTATGTCCTTTAGATGTTACTACCTAAGTCCCAATTTAAGTGTGGTAGTTTGACTAGGCGCAGAAGTTGAATGAATAAAGGGAGAATTATGAATCTCGTGGTCTAAAATTAAAGATGTGTGTGGTTCTTTAAATCTTGTGGTTTTAAGTTTTCATGTCAGATGTTGGAATAGAGAAACTTACTACATATAGAAAGAGACACTGTTTTAGGACAGACCAAATTATAGCAAGACACTTAGATGGGGACGTAAGGAGTAAATGTTTCAGTAGTTGCTTGCTTGCCTGCCCTTCATTAGTGTGTGATTGTGGTAAAGTGGTTTCTTAAATTGCTTCCTTTGGGTTCATATTTTGGGTTTCACCTATTGTATTTATCACTGAAAATCATAGAACTTCTCAACTGATATTTCATAGGAGAAAGCTAGCAGTCTATATCCATTTTCCATAAGGAAAGCATGAGTTGTCTCGGGCCGAATTGACTAATCCATAAGGTGACTTATCCATATATGAGAGCTCCTAGTCCTGTGTGATTTACGAATGGTAGGCTTGGTTTAGGAATATCCAAAACAGTTGTAAAAATCGTCCATTTGCTTTTTTTCCCAATATTAAAACTTAAGGTAGTCATAAGGTAATCATGTTTATAATGTTCTTCAAGTTTTAGAAAATATGGTTGTTACTAACTTTCTTTAGTTTTTAAACTGCTTCCATATAGACATAAATGCTATACTACTTTGAGTGGTTCTTTAAACAGAAGCCTAGTAACACTTTTGGGTCATGCCTTGAAGATTTGACACCATAGAAGATGAATATTTGATAAAATTTCGTGTATTCTCATAGGTACCATGTCGGTTAGTCATAGCATATTGATATTGGTTAACAAAATGGACCTTAAGCCTAACTCATGAAGTGAAGGTCGTCTAAAATATATAACAACCTATTCTTTCGATTTTTGATGGAGGATTTTAAAGAGAGGAACAAAATGAAGTGGTAATCCTCAGATGGTCCATCCCAGTTGTTGGAACTAGACAGGAACTAGTATACCATGCTAAACTTGTGATTGCTTTGACTCCACTGTGAAATTTTTGGCTACTTATTAGCAGCAAGTGGTGCTTCTGAGGTCGTTAAAGACAATCCCATAGTATTGCATAGTTACATTAGCTATTGTATTTGCACTTCAATTTGTGCACGTGCATTTCAATAAATAGATCTTCTGTACAACTTGCAGTTTTTTTCTTTGAGAAAAGGTAACAGAAAATTGATTTCACTCTGCGACTGGTAATTTACATTTTGAAAGCCAGTTTTTGGTTATGAAAGTACAGTTCCTTAGGCTAGGTTGACTGATAGATACCAATCAGCCTCACAAACAGGAGGTCAATGTGCAGAGCCTTATTAAAATACTCTTTGCTGCCAAATAATGTGATAAATAAGGAAGCATCCAAGGGTGACCTAGTGATCAATGAAGTGGATTGAGAACCATGAGGTCTTAGGTTTCAAATCCCAGCATAGACTTAAAACACTATCTGATACCTGTTGTTGGTCAGACGAGGTAGGTATCCCGTGGAATTAATCGAGGTGCACAAAAGCATATCCCAGACACCACTGTCATTAAAAAAGTGATGATTAAGGATCTCTATTAAAACAAATCTGCAGGCTTCGCTCTGTGTTTGTGTTAAGAGTTTTATATGAGCGGTTTCACGCTGCTTTTAGAAGTCTCCACGTTTTGATTGTGAGATTTTCTTAGTAATAACCATTGATACAACGTGCAGGCCCATAGTTAAAGCTATGAAACCTCAAGTCTTTCCGGGAAGTTATCATTTTAGGATAAAGATAGTAGAAGTAAATTTGTTCTCTTGCATGTAGTGACAACTCATGTACTACTCTCTTTGTTTCAGTCTGTTTGTCTACTTTTCTTTTTAGTCCGTTTAAAAAAGAAGACCTCTTTTCTTTCTTGTCAACTTTTTACTTTCAAATTTTCACATGACGAGTTTAAGACCACACGATTAAAGTATTTTGGTATATTTGATACATCTTTTGCTTAAGACCATAAGACTCAAAAGTCATCTTTACTTTTTTAAACTCCATTTCAAGTCAAAACTAGACTTAACAAATTGAAACGGAGGGAGTACTTAAACTGCATCAATCAACAGCAATGCCTGCAGGAAACTGTCTCGAGGAGCTTAACTTCCTTATTAGTTTCTTTGATGCTTCAATAGATCATTGCAATGTAACATAAAACAAATTATTGATTTGTTTCCTCTAGGTCATGGAAGGAGCGTTGCAGTCATGTGTGCACTGTTAGTAGCTCTTGGTCTAGCAGAAGACTGGAAAAATGCTGAGAAATTGATCAAAGAAAAACGGCCATACATACGAATGAACGCTCTGCATCGCAAAGCTTTAGAGGAATGGTCGAAGGATCGTCTCTCTTCCCCAAAAGTTGGAGTTAGTTCCGTGATTCTGTCGAGTGCTAACGACCGTTCCTGATCAATTGACTGCAGTTGCAAGACCAATTAATTATATAGATGATTGGCTGTTTGTCTTCACTTTTGATTACACACTATACTTGATGATTGAGATTTTTGCTTCTTTTTATCAAGTAGAAGCGTACTCTCTTGATATATTTCTTGTAATAGAAAATGTTTGATTGCCAGGATTGTGTTTGACATAAAAATTCTTAAAACTATTTTTGAATCCTAAGCATCTAGTGAAACTGTATTTATTGTGTATCAAGATTCTGTTATATTCTTAAAAAGCAGCTAAGTATTATTCCATTCTTTACATTTGTGTTGCAGTAGAATAAGAAGACAGCTCGATGTACTAAATTCGTGTTTTTTTGCAGAATCTTAGGTAAGATTGAATTACATTGAGCATGTTATAGACCAAAAACTTTATATTTATGTAAGAGGGTGTTTCAATGAATTATAACAGTGACCACAAGTATTATTAAATAACATATTCAATATGTCTCATCGATCAATACTAGGTAATTAAATAACATATAATCACAAAATACCTCTCTTTGAATATGCCTAGTAACACATGGTGAGTACATGCAAACCCCACTTAGATATTACAATAGCTTTTTTTGTTGTTTTGCTTTACTTTTTTGCCACTTCAACAGTTTAAGTGAATGAGTTATCTTTTTGTTTGTTTTTTTATTAGTAGAATTCAGACTATATAATATAAAATATATATATATAGAAGAGTGTCACCAAACAGGAATTATAGCTTTGCTCCTCAAAATTATCATCTTCACAGGTTCATATTTTTTCTACTCATCAATTGTATCTTTGAATTTTATGTATGGTATGAATTGTATTATTTAATTTTTCTCTTGCCAATTTATATTAATTTGCGTTGATCATGATATGTACTTTGTTAAATACTCGAACACTTAATCCTCTCCAAATCTCAATTAGTGGAATTCCACTGAACATATTACACAACGACGATTATTTGTTAGATCTTGATTAGTAATGCTAATAGATTAATTTAGTCTAATGAATCAAATCATTTAATGTTCCCTAGGTGTTAACATGTCAAAAATTAGCATTCCTTCATCTAATTACTTGCTCAAAGATGCACCATCAACAAAATCCTTTGCCTTCACCAAAAAACATCCATGTACTCTAGGTGAGTTGATTTCACGTATCGTTACTGAACTATATTCACTATATAATCATCATATAAAGTAATAGTATCGTTATAAACAATTTTTTTTTATGTATACTCGATAAAGTTTAGTGACTAGACGTTAAATTAATCATGTTCTAGGTTCTTTGAAGAGTATTTCCAAAGCATTTGGATTGAATTGTATCTCCAAGTTCAAAGTCTCAACAATGGCACTACACAAAGTGAAATTGATAGATCCTAATGGTATCGAAAACAAGATTGAAGTACCCGATGATCGATACATTCTTGATACTGCAGAAGATGTAGGAAAGGAACTTCCATACTCATGCAGGGCTGGTACTTGTGGAACTTGTGCAGGACAGTTGAGTTCAGGCTCAGTAGATCAATCCGAAGGCTCGTTCCTCGATGAAAACCTGATCGAAAAGGGGTACGTATTGACTTGCATTTCGTACCCAAGGGAAGATTGTGTTGTCTATACTCACAAGCAAGATGAAGTCTTGAATTGAGAAACGTTTGGTGTGTAAAAAGGTTCTCCGCGGAAGGGGGCCAACTATGTATTAAAGCCTTTAAATCAACAATAAGTTCACCATTGAAACCTTCATCTATGTGTTTTGTGTGTTCAGACTCTTCAAAAGTGTAGACGAGTGGATAACATATTTGGAGAGTTCAAGCAACATAGGCTGCATTTAGCTAGTAATTAAAGGCTTAAATTCAAGGTATGCATAAACATTACATCCTACTTTGATCTTGTCATAATGATGCCAACATTAGTCTCAAAAATACCTTAGTAAGTGTTATATCAACAATTTTATTGCCAAACAAGGGCAATGAAAAAGTGTCAACATTCGCGCTACCAAATGCAGAGAGGGAGGGCCACGTATAGTAAACTAGTCTTGTAAGAGAAAACAAACGTGTCTCTGAATCTTGGCTTCTACGTATAAAGAATGTTCTTTGTATTGATGAATCCAACTTCTAGAACACCTTGTACGAGGAACAAGAGCTCAGAGACACGAGGGTATGTGTGTTGGGGGGTGGGGGGTAACATTAACAATACCCCAATGAAATGGTAACATGGCAAGTGAGACACTTCCCATCTAGAGTTTGGGAATTTTGTCTGACTAGCTTTTGTCACAATAAAGGTTTGTGGGTATGCCAATGTATGTGAAAGAAGTCTCCACACATTGTTTGATTTGTTTCAGAGGCGTTAGCAATGACAGAGGCAAAAATTTTATTAATAAAATAATATGTTCATATTATATGATTTTCCAGCAAAGAAGGTTCGAGTAAAACCCTTGCGTTCATTTAGCTCCACACTGGTTAAGAAGATGAAGTGTGGAAGAATATCATGGCCACTTGCATTTACAATTCTTCATATGCCATTGACAAATAATGAAAAATGAGTTTGTGATTGAAATAATAAGACTGTTTCACCAATCAGAAGTCTCAAGTTCGAGCATAAGTATAGAGAAAATCATGTTGGAAACATCATCCTAAAATGGTTATGCAATGCGTAATTCAAATTTTATCGAGGCTCTAATATGAACTTTAAATGTCGAATGAAAATAATAATAAAAATAAAATATTATGGCTAGTTATGATAAAATTGACATAAGACCGATTGCTTCTTGAATTAACGGATGAAAATATTTAAATATTATCGTTAAAAAAATATTTATTTGAATTTCGAAATTCCAAAAAATATCGTATAAATCGAAATGGATCGAAATTTATCACTCAAACACCAAATTTTCATCTTTTCATTGTCTTCTTAGTTGAGTTAACTGATAATGGATACCATTTTCTCCCTCTCTCCATCTCCGCAACCCTTCTCCGCCGCTATTCTCACCGGGAACCACCACTCCACCACCGTCTTTTCCTCCCTCAGAAAATCCTCCTCCAGCTCCCCTGAAAAAATCCCTCCTCCATACACTCCTAAATTTACCAAAAAACCCCTCAAACATCTACTTAATTCCACCCCACCTCCTAGTCTCCATAACAAGCTAAGGCTATCCAAGAAGCTGTCACCACCCCCACCCCCACCCCCTACCCCGCCCCCAACTCCTCCACCATTTGTAGGAAAAAATGAGGAAATGCATAAAAGAGTTGAAAGTAAGGAAAAAGGAAGAATCTTTGTGGGGAATTTACCATTATGGATTAAAGAGAAGGAGGTTGCTGAGTTCTTTAGACAATTTGGGGCTATAAAGAATGTGATTTTGATAAAGGGTAGTAGTGGGAATGAAAAGAATATGGGTTTTGGGTTTTTGAAATATGAGGGTCCAAATGCTGAGAAAGCAGCTATGAAGGCAGTGGATTTTGATGGTGTTGAATTTCATGGAAGGGTGTTGACTGTGAAATTGGATGATGGGAGGAGATTGAAAGAGAAAATAGAGGAGAGGAACACGTGGCATGAGGCGAAGGAGGGGCCCAGGAGAGATTTCAAGAAGGTTCTGGAAATACAGCCGGAGAATTGGCAGGCGGTTGTTCGGGCTTTTGAGAGAATCAAGAAGGTGTTATGCTTACTGGAATACTGAAGTAATCTGCTTGCAGTGCTGTAGTCCCTTAAAATGTATGATTTGAAGTGTTTAGATACTTAAGTTAATACATTTGTTACTTATTACAAGCAAAAACATGATAAGGCTTTAGAATTGGATGAATTAAGTTGGTTCATTATGTGCTGTTAGCTTAGTTAATGTGGCAATACTTTTGGTGCTAAATGGTGAGAGCAAATATTTATGAGCTAATTGTTTTGGTAATGATAAAGTGATGTCTAGTACTAATCAACTACCAATGTTTCCTTTTTCTGATATTCCTCTATCTTGTTCATTGTGGCTCTAGAGCAAGAGAGGTTGGTAACTGAAAAAAGCAACATATCCACATGACCCTAGACAGGAAGGTATGGAGGTCGAGGATTAGAATAAAAGGTTAGTAGGTAGCCTAGTGTTGCCGCACTTTATGTGGGAGGGTAGGGGGCTAGCCACTTCCTTTTCCTCTTCTCATTATTGGTAGTAGTATTTAGTAATTGTCTAGTCTTCTACTCTTCTATATGTGGTACTACTGATTGCTTTATTTGCTTTGTATTGTGCTATTTGATTGTTATATTTTTCTTGCAATCCTACTTCGATAACAATCTAATATTCCTTTTGAGCCGAGGGTCTGTTGGAAACGACCTCTCTATCCCACAAACATAGGGGTAAGGTCTGCGTGCATCTACCCTCCCTGGACCGCACTTGTGCGATTACACTGTGTATGTTGTTGTAATAATTCTTAATTAATTAATCCCTTGTCCTTAATTGGTCATCCCCTTCTCCGTTAACCCAAGAAACGGAGATCTTCATTCATTGTTTACTGCTAGTTTTATAAGATTATGTGTCATATATGTAAGGATAAGATGAAGTGCTAGCGAAGTTATATTGTTCCTTGGATTGTAACTAGCAGCGACAAATGGTTTTGATAATTTTCAAGTCCTAGAAGACTTCTATTGGCTTGTGGATATGCTGTACTTGCACCTAAATACATTTACATTCTACTATATACCGCTTATCATTACTACTATCTCTGATATGCCTTTCTGTTGAAGAAAAGTTAATATTTATTTATGGTATACCTTACTTTCATTTTACTCTCATGTCAAGTTGTGTATTAGGCTTTTAAGAAACTCTTGAACATATATTTCGGATAAAATAATTCCTTCTATTTGTAGCCATCCAGGAAAGAATTTGGCTTGATGGTGAACTACTATGCAAGGAGGGGTGACATGCATCGTGCACGTGAAACCTTTGAGAAGATGTGTGCTCGAGGAATAGAACCAACCTCTCATGTATATACCAAGTTAGTTCACCTTTATTAAATGTTACTTCGGTTCTATCAATCCATTGTTAGACACTCTTCCAGTTAATAACCTCATAACTAAATCCTTATGGACGGATCCAATCTTGGCCTTGTATTTGCTCATTCTTCAGTCCAACATTTCTTCTTTTTTAAAGTGTAACCCGAACCTGTCCCCCATGGACCCACCCCATCCCACCCCCAATAAAAAATATTTTCTGTAGACACTCGTGGGAACTGGTTATTATTGTAACTACTTAATTGCTATGCTTATCTCCTCTGAAATATATAACTGTGCTACTTCTGAAAATTGGTTCCGTGTTATATGCTGCTCCTGAAAATGAAAATGAAAATGGATACTGTATTATCTATATTGCTTCAAAGGAAGTGTTTCGCATTTGCAGCCTTGTTCATGCTTATGCAGTGGGTAGAGACATGGAAGAAGCACTATGTTGTGTGAGGAAAATGAAAGATGAAGGAATTGAATTGAGTCTTGTAACTTACAGCATTCTTATTGGAGGATTTGCCAAAGTGGGCAATATAGAGTGAGCAATTCAACCACTTTTAAATGTTGTTATTCATTTCTCATTGTGTTGTTTTTAACATTTACTTAGCTTTGTTGAGTTTGATTAGTTTGAAAATGTTGGGCTTTCCTTTTTTCACCTTTGTTTAATGAAGGACTTCGGATGTTACTGAAAACAATATCAGAGAACAAAAAATGTGACTTGATTAGACTATCTTTAAATATGTCTATTCTCTCTATTTTAAGTATTAAAATATAAAATTGTGCATGATTAAAGTTATCATCCTTGAAATTGTTAAAAGTAGAAAGTTAAACATATCTCTCTTGAACAATTTATGATTATTAATAAGCTTAATGTATGAGCACATATTTTCTTATAACATCACATGCAAGTCAAAACCCTCCAGTATACGGGCAAATATTTTTGTTAACCTCAGTAATTGTCACATTTTTTCTTATATATAAAGTCAGATGCAAGTGATGTTTCTCCGGTATACAGACAAGTATTTTTTGTTAACCTCAATAATCTAAAGTAACATGTTGGATTTTCATATTCAAAGTTCTAGGCATTGAAATCTCTATCATCATTATCAAAAAGTCATCTGATATTCATCATTCTTAGATTTGAGTTGTTTGCACCTAAACTTTCATATAGCATTTCAATGACCAGCAGACTCTAAAGTGATTTTTAATTTACCTTATCAAATATACTTAATGGCTAAGTCTAATAACTTAACAGCCAACTGGTACTGAATAATTGGGTAATCAACCACATTTAGGCTTTAACCTTTGCTCAGTGCCTTACACTGGGGGAGTATCTGTACTGTTCAATTCAGTTGTTTCTTTTCTTTGAAGTGTAGCCCCCTATGGCATCTAAACAACTTAGTCCTACTGCATGCTAGAAAATAAGAAACCTGAAAAAAAAAACTGAATTTCCATGATTGGTAAGTGTAGATGATAATGTCTTTAATGCGGAAAGGAATTGTCTTCACTTAACACTTCTCTTGAGTAATCTAGTTTTCTTAGTTCTCTCAATTTATTTATTTTCTATCAGGAGTTCTCTCTAGTTTTCTGAGTATCATCTTTCATTGGGGATATCTGATGAGAACTTCTCCTGATATGTCATTTCTCTTTCTGTTTCTTGAAGAGCTGCTGAGCGATGGTTTGAGGAAGCCAAAAAGAGGGATCTGACATTAAATGCAATCATATATGGGAATATCATCTATGCTAACTGGTTTGTTTTTATTGAAT